ATTTTTATTACGTGTTCATAATGACTTCTAGAAAATGTACACTTTCTGCCTACTACGTGGTGGAACATTACAGGCTAAACTACGACGCATACTGGGTCAGTGAAAGTAAAGGAAACATCTAGACCTGTTTATGTCTTCACACCCGCCGTCTCCGTTGACACACGATATGCAGAATAATTGCCCGTCATTTCCTTGTGACTTCTTGTGTAGATATTCTACTGTTTTCTCACAAAACAAGTAAGTGTCGCGATATCTCTTGCGGTATGTAACAGAGAGGTATTCGTTTGAGTCCCTGATAATGACCAGATACTAGGTACTCAGTGGTTTTTCTCAGTCTCCTCATATAAATGTGAAACTTTTAAATTATAATATTTAAACGTTTCGAAAGCTGATTATGCTTTTAAAATTTTCTAGTTTTATAATTTAGACGATGGACAAAGTCCGAAGTATAAATTTAACATAATTTAAAGCTCTATCGCCAGAAAACTTAAAATTTTCATAAAAATAATCATGTTGCCTTACTGGTTTTTAGTTCGTCACTTCTTATCGACGGGCTTAAACATCATCGAATGGTCTGTTCATTACTTGGGAAAGATAAAGAAAGAATCAGCTGTGACTTATTTAAAGTTATATCACCAGACCTTCCCTGTAAATACTGGGGAAAACCACAAAATTCTAAATAAGGATAGCGAATCTGCAGGTCGATGTTCGAACCCGAAAACAGCGTTCTAAACAATTATTTTCGCATCTAACCCTCAGATTTATTTTTATGTTTCTCATTGTCTTTAAGTGTCAGACAACAGAACGTCCGCACCGGTCTCAAGATTTTTTTTTCCAGCGTTTACCTCAACTTTGTAATTCTTTTCGCACTGTAGGTTTGTAATTTCATGCCATTCTCGATGACCTGTCTGCTCAGTGTTTCCGTCTCTGTACACAGCAGTAATCTTCTCAGCTAGATCCATGCTGTAAAGTTCAAGTTTCTCACGTACTTCATTTGCCTATGAAGCCGTGTGGTTCTGCCTCTTTGAACCCTGGTAGCTTCGACCCTATGAGATCGGCGTTATTACTACACATAACATTCCGACAGATCCGATTTATTTCACCGAATTTCTGAACAGTCGTGCTCACTAAATTCATGTACCAAGAGTCCTTCTTGAGAAGCCAATACTAGAATTGCTCAGATTTGATGAAATCCTAAGGTTAATTGCCGTCTTCAAAAAAGCATGTCGCTGATTCTTATCCAGATTAATCCAATCCTATTTCTGTAAGATTAATTTTAATATTTTCTTCCCACCTACGCCTAGGTTTTCCAAGTGATGTCTTTCTCTCAAGTATTCTGATCAGAATTGTACGCATTTATAATTTCTCCCATGTGTGCTACGTTTAGGACCGTAACAACGTTTTCGACGTGCTAAACACAATCCGAAGGAGGTCAGTCTCTTGAACACACTCTTGATCACGACTATCAGGAACAAACCTGTGTTCCTCAATTCTCTCTCTCTTTCCTCTCGTCCCTCTTTCTACCCTTCTTTTTCTTTATTTCCCACTTTCGATCTATCTTCCTTTGTCCCTCGTGCCCCCTTCCCTCAGTTCCTCAATTTTTTAAAAGTGTGAGTCTATCGCAGCTAGTCCAAAATTAGACTCGAACGTCAGATCGAGTCTAACGCGGCACCTCCAAGGACTAAATCCTATAATCCAAAGAAAAAACTCTCCGCTCTGAAGTCGGCTCTTCGAGGGCACCCCACGATCTCAATGGCCAGGACCGGCAAGGCCTCGCTTACTAAGAGCTCCAAGTTGATGCCCTAGAATGGGCCATTCTTCTAATTGGCTGACGATGCATATCTTTGTCCCTAAACAGTCATTTTCGTTCTCAATTCATCCGTTAACTCAATCACATATCTTGATTATTCGCTACGTTTCATTGTAACCTTTAGCAGACATGTTTCGTCTATTTAATCAACATTAAATACGTTGTGTTATAAAAACCGTCGACAGCTGAGTAAATAGCAACGGTTTCTAGGCAAGACAAAAGATATCTACACAATCGACACTCAGAATTAAATAAATCACACTATATCACGTTACATTTCAGTACTACCAGAGACGCCATCATTATTTTAATGTTTCGAGGCACAAAGATGTAAGAATAACCTAAGGAACAAATGCTGCCATATGTAAACAGTGGTTAAGAACGTATGTAAGAAATGATAAATTAATATTATGTAGGATTTGAGGTTTTCACGGCGGTGAGTATGATGGCGGTAGCAAGGACCTCTGAAACGTCGGCAAACTTCTACCAGACTACACGGCGTAACAACCCAGAATCTTCAGATTAATATTAACACAAGTAACTATGCGTAATTTCCACTGCCATAATTGCAATCCGATTCAAGATAAAAAGCCACAGATTTCAATCACGAGATGTGATGGCCCGCATGTTCAGATCGAGTCTCAGTATCCATATGCTGATAACTGATATTGAACTGTGGTGGCAGCAAAACACCACGCGAACGGGAGATCTGAGTACAAGAGAGGGACAAGTCGCAATGTTGTTGTGGTCGTTGTCAGAGCAACTTTCCGTTCCCCGGGTGACGACCTTCACAGACAGTTCGATAACGCGTTACATCAAACCCACACGATTGCACGCAGCCGTCAGACTTGCTCAGAACCCACTCATTAGCTTCGATCTCTTCTATTGATGTGCACTCTGCACTTTGTCACGACAAACAAGCTCTTCATAACATTTATTGTTCAATTCCAAAGTTATGAACTCGAAAAGAGAACTTCATGTTGGCCTAATTTAGAAAAATTTTCTCATCTTTTCAAATAACATATTCTGATGACCGGGTTTCGATCCCCGACAGGGGCAGAGAATTTTTCCTCTACCCTCTGCCTCCAGACCAGCTCTGGGGCCCACCCAATCCCTGTCCAATGGGTACCGGTGTCCTTCTCCGGGGGTTAAGCGCGGCCGGGGCGAGAAGCTCACCACTCACCCCTATCTAGTGCCGAGGTTAAGAATGAGTAGAAGCTATACTCACTCCTCACAAGCGCCTACATGGCGTATAGCGGAACAGCTTTAATTTCTTTACTTCCTGTAGTATCATCAATTCCAATGATCGAATCTTAAGGTATTTAACGATTGTATCAACCGCAGAGTTTACAAAGCATGTAACAAAATTAAATTAACACAAATCATGAAAAGGTAGAAATTTGGAAGGAGATTGTAGTGGTATGTTTCAAAGTAAGTTAACTATCACAGTATTCGCCTATAGCAGCCGATAAATACCAGGAAAAGTAACAGTCAGGATAGTCGGTAACCCAAACAATGTTTGTACCCGGGTACTTTGAAACGCAAAGCAAAACAACTAACCAATAAGTCGTGATGTTTTGTACTAGATTTGTAAGATAGGAATAGTAATAGTTTTAGAGGCCATTACAGCGAATGAGCGGGAACAAAAAACGCGACCGATCGATAACAGTGCCCAGTTCAAATCTAGAATATGGGGTCACGTATAGTGACGGACATCGTTCATTCTAGGCGAAGGCTGAGACAATACTTACAACATTCCGTACGAGGCAGTGAGGGGTTTGCACTCCTCTTCCGTATTCGGGGGATCTTGGGTTCAAATCTGAGCCCGGAGGCAGACTATATAATTGTTTCCGTTGTTTTATTCAGTCTGTTCACGCAACTGCCACGATAGTACCTTACATGACGTCATAACGTCTTCCTTACGCATCCTTTACAATCCACTGTTAACTAATCCTATGATTCGACGCTATATAACCTGAGCTATTAACAGCGTCGTTAAATAAATACTTCAGAACAGGACGCTGTTCTGTCCTCTCTCGCCCAATTAATCATCCGTCAACATGTTCACATCTCATTCGGCCTTATTTTAATTCTATGTCTGAGGGTTACAGATATTTCAAATCCTCGCAATGCCCTGAATAACAGAGGCTATTCGTTCATTAAAAATGAGTAAAGCGAGTAATAGCAAAGAAATATACTATTATAAAATGTACGAACACATTTTCTCCGAAGTTGATTTGTCAGTTCAAACGAGGAATTAACATGATGAAATGTTTTCTGTTAATTTATATAAAAATCAGATTGAAAACCCATTTATAAATTGCTGTAAGGACAGAAAAGTCCAGATCAACCAATTATGTGCAAAACAGAATTCTGATCTTCAATTGCTTTCTCCTGCCACACGAAACACTGGACAGGGGTTTGTGTATATGTGGTAATCAGGGGGAGGAGTGCGAGGGAATAGGCTGGGGGTACAAGGAACTGGTATAGACGTACTGGTTCTACTTTCTTTCCCAACTCTTTTCAATAATAATTAATTAATTATATGACTCCACAGATAGCCAAGTCCGACGTCTTGCAATTAGTCTGCCTCCAACAGGTTTCCCAAAAATATCTCTCCGGTGTGTGCTGCATGCTCCACCCATCTCATTCTCCTCGATTTAATCACTCTAATGATAATTTGTTACTCTAAGGGCACCTGGTAAACAGTCCAAACTAGAAAGCTCCTCATTCTATAATGTTTCAGTCTCCTGTTACTTCTTGCATCTTTGGTCCAAATATTGTCCTCAGCAGCTCGTCCTCAAACACCCCAAATTTATATCCATTTTATGTAAGATACCAAATTTCACGTCCATACAAAAACCCCGGAAAATATAAGACTGTGTATACTATAATCCTTACTATTTTACATGGAAATCGAAAGGAAAGTAACGTTACGTGTGCCCAAAGATGATTTTGTCTTGCAATCAGCACGAAAGGATGTTTTAAAATTGGGGGCAGTAAAGTACATTGTAAGTATACGGAACTGAAATTCCATTCGTTCGCCAGAATTGTTAACTCTAGTTTCGTAACAGCTAAATCTTCGCGGTCCTTGGTCCCCTCTTGATTTGAGGATGGTACAGCGCGTCAGTGCGCGGAAAATGTGCGCCGGAAATGATAAATAAACCATAACATGACACTTGCCGTGCGAGTGGCCTACATGGTTATGGAGAGAGACGTTCTGACGAAGGCAACTCAACACATCGTATCTACATACAGGTACGTACTACTTGCTTCAGCAACCGAACTTTGAACTCTGAAACATCCATCTTAGGCTGTCAAATAAGAAATGGCGTGTTCCTGCCCCATGATTGAAATATATAAGCACCGACATCATTCGCAACAACTGACTGAGCTTCGGGAAACCCGGTATAAACATCATGCCATTCGAGAACTCTCCATTTTCCTTCTTCTTACATTTTTACCAATAAGACAAACAACATGGCAACCGCGCGAAATCTTCAGGTGAGAACAACAGTAACATTATTCATACAGAAGCCTGAATTTTTGTGTGGTATGTATGAAGAACATACACATTCTTTTTTAGTATTTCTTATCCAAATGAAAAAAAACAGTAATATGGCGACAAAGACACGTTTGTGCCACTATGACAAGTAAAGAACTAATGTAAATCGTACAATACATGTAAAATACTGAACTCACAAATACCCATAACTTTGTCGTATGTGTTTAACGAAATAAGTAGGGGAAGCAATCATTAATTAGTGGTGTGCTGGTCTTACTGTTGATTAACTCAACAATATAAGTCTACATGCAACAGATAAACAACAAAACTATGAAAAATCCATGCAGATATATTCCAAAACATCATTAACCCATTGCAGGTCGCATCTAACCCAACAAAACGTGGCAAAGTTGAATGTCCCTTGCCTTTCACACCAAAGGCATTTATCAGAAAAAAAGAAAAAGATTAACTTGTCTGCTGGCGTTTGGATGGTGTGGATTAATATCGCACAGTAGCAATATATCAGGCATTTCCTGTCCTCCTTATGTACACACATACTTACGTATTCGCGAGAGACATGTTCCTGTAAGGACCGCGTAAAGACTCTGGTAAATCAGTTTCTTTCCTTCTTCACACCTTTTACACTTACAGCTGAAGAAGAATGACAACATAAATCAATCTATGTACAACATAGGACCCACCAGTTGAAGATAACAGCCTTCTGAAATATCACGCCGTGTAGTCTCGGAGAAGTTTCCTGACATTTCAGTGGTACTTACTGTCTCCATCAACAGAGCCCAATCGCCCTGATTACGGAGGTTGCAAGGACCTCTGAAACGTCGGTGTACTTCTCCGAGACTACACGGAGCATAATCCCAGAAGGCTGTCATCGTACTCACCAGGAAAACTTGGAATGCCTCTCAATGTACTGGTTGTCATATGGGGAAAAGTCATTTAAAGACGTACGTATAAGCTATGAAGCGATGTAGTCACTGCAGTATTAATTTGCAGCCGCTGTGCCGAGTAAAAGGCATTCCGTGTTCTCGATCCACTCAGCGAACAATGACCGGTGTGACTATGAGTCGTTTAAAAGGCGAATATTGATGTAACTTCGTAATTGCACGGCAGAATTTTTAAACTGGAGGTCAAATTGCAAAGCGGAACAACTGAACAAAATATCGGCGGTTTGTGTAAATGGCATTCATTCATTCACTGAGTTGAGTTCTCTACACAGAAGACTGTCCGTCTGACACCGGGTTCCTGCGTACTAAGGTTTTAATATAACGACCTCTATTGGCTATTCTCTTGTGACACAGACTTCGCTCTTATAACTAGAAACCAAACATCGCCTTCCTTATTCTGACTTACACCTTAGCAGTTTTAATCTTGCAAATCGCATTACAGATTCATATTTCTGAAATATGACGTTCAGTTCTTGAATTATAGCAAGAACACTGCCAGTACTTGCAATATAATTTATTTTTAATATTCGATCTTAATGTTTAAAGCTTTTAAATTATGAAAATGGTCTTGATGAGCTTCCCTAGTTGTTAACGTACGGAGTTAACAGGAAAAAGTGTTTTCCAAAAGGTCACAGTCCCATCCCATCTTCAGAATTTATAGCGTCACAATCCTAAAGACCACCATCGACAGTTTAACAACATAAATCTATGTAGTCTTCTCTTCAGATTTTCAAACTAAAAGTCTGTACATATAAACCAAAATTAGAAACACATAAACAAGAAGAAGTCAAATATATTTGAAATGGCACATTAACCTGACAGAGAATCAGAGATCTTGCGACTTCGACATTTTTATATAAAGTGTAGAGTTCCCGTATCAGACATAGAAACTTCAATATGCCAGAAACGGTTTTTTTTTGTTTCAAGTAAATATTAGAGAGAATGACCTCAGCAGTAAGTAAAACATGGAAATTCAAGGAACAGTGCATTTTCACAACTTAATGGTCGCTCAGATAGTCAAAACATTTCCCACCTTTTAAAGAACGCGGATGTTTATTGTCATGTTCCCAAAAGCCCACAACTGGTCCCCATCCTAAGCGAGATAAGTCCAATTCACATTACCCCACCCCTTTCTTTAAGATCACTTTTAATATTATCCTCCCACGTCATAGGGGCACAGTCTTTATTTCGGGTTTTTCAATCAAAATTATGCTTATTTCGTATTTCTCATTTCCCTTATGCGCGCTACACAACCATACATAGCATTCTCCTTTACTTGATTACGCTAATAACACATGACGATCAGAAGAAATTATGAAGCACAATACACAATTGTATCCACCCTCCTGTCATCACTCGGGTCCCAATATTCTCCCGTTCTAAGATACATTGTGTTTCTACTTTAATATAAGACTCAGTTTCACACGCATACAAAACAAGAGGTAAAATACTGACAGAAATTCAACAAAACTGTAGGAAACGCTGTTCAGTAAAAGAAGAACGAAAAACAACGTGCGCTTGTTAAAATGTCGCCTTCCTCAGAAGTGAATGCCCGAGAGTGTTTGTCCGTCTCTTTCTTGTGGTAAGAAGGAAGCGAAAACATGTTTTGCAGTTGCAGGTTTTTCCACCTTAACATTTGTTTGCTTTCATCATTATCACGCCACCTCCCACCCACATAAAATAGCACGGCGTTGAACAAACTATTCTCACAGCTGGCGCTTGCATTGCGCGACTGTCGACCGTTAAACAATGGCAGATCAATACGCGCTCTGATAACGACGCCTGTAATTGCCAGTAACCGCCTGAACTGCAGCGGGTAGTTCAACCCCGACAGAAGGGCGTTGTAATTGCTCGCGTGAAACCTAGTAACTCGTCGCTTCGTTTGCTTTGCCACTGCCGTCTGTTTGTGGTTCACCGCAGTACTATCAACTGATCTTAAATATTTCAGAACTGCCCACGTGCACACTGACCGCTGCATGCAGTCTGTGTCTTGAAGGTACACAGCAGTTCACCCCGATAACATAATTACGAATACACAACTCGAACAATAGCAGGGCTTTGTGTGGCGCTGAACTGCTATTTGATAAAATTAAACACGTTCGATTTCCGTAAAAAGAAGTCTTGTCCACTTGTTGACACACCGCGGTCTCTCATTCACCCAAAAGTTTCTTTCAATTTCGTCCTCAGTTTCTTAACCTATATGATTTGTAATCTGATAAATGTAAAATTTGTCACTTTACATTGAATCCAATGAAACAATTTCTGTATTTTTTTCTTCAGATCACATTGAATATCAAAGGTATATGCATTTCGACTTACGATTAAAACAATTAGCTATTATATAAAAATAAATCAAATTCCTGCAGAGAACAATCGGTCATTGTCACTTGGATCAACGAAATATTTTGGACTTCAGTGAAATAATTAAGATCGAAGTGCGAAATAATACGATAAAGAGAACTAAAAAGAATCGTTAGGATTCACACATTGCTTTCACCTTCACAGCCAACATACAAGACCGTTAATTAGATTCGCACTCATGGTTCGTATTCCGCAGGCCACGGTTTCGATTCTAGGCCTGGCAAGATTTTGATGGCTTCCCGTTCCCACCACGCCAAGCGCTGCGATAGGCTCTCAACTTCGTCCCTTACCATCACGAATCACAAAAGGCCACCCATCTGACGATAAAAACTTATGCAGTTTAAAGAAGGTCATTAAATCCATTAACTCAATAGCGATAATTTACGATAGGTGCCGCCGCCTAATTTAACATTTAGTAACTCCAAACAATATCCACAGGACGTAATTATCGTAGGAACTGATCTGAATATTCAGATGAACTTCATGCTTCAAATGATTGAGAAACAAAAGCAATTAAATTGGATATTTCATGACAAATCATCTGTAGTTAGAATCTGTTCCCGACACATTTCATTCTGCGTAGGCGTCCTGGTAGGCGAGTGATAATGTACGCATGCGTAAACTCCCTATTCCTAAATAAAGAACATTAGTCTTTAGTACAAATATTTCTAACACGTCTTTGTTGCTTTCCGCTGTCCGTAGTATCGTTATTGATTTATCTGTTTTGTTATTACTAAGTACTTTATAACTTCCGATGTTTTAAACTATTATCAATAAAGTTTACATCAAATTAGAACAAGCAGTATGTTTTTCGGTCTGCTAGTAGAGCAGCACGTGTCTTCCCTGGTCATATACGTCACAGGGACTTACTTAGCTCTCGTGCTCTGTACACGTACAGACTATCGGCGCGATACATGTTAAATTTACTTCCATTACGGAGCGTACAGAAAAACACGTGTGACCATTATGCTTTCTGATGACATATTTAGTATGTAATGAACTTCATCTTGCACAGTGTACGCTCCTCTATATTCACTCATGCAAATGAAATATAGATCGTATATTACGTGATAAGAAATGACGAATCCCTGACATGACTGACCTAATGTAGTTCTTTGCATCGACAGCACCCAACTGAAGACATAAACTGGCAGCCAGTGACATAAATCGATACAACAGGTTTTGTTAACAGAAATTCGCTTCGAAATATATATCTCAATACACAGGAACAAACATACACAAACATGGATTCCATAAAGTGACGCTGCAGATGCTCGGGGCCGCTTACTTGATTAAAATTAATACAAAAAAGTTTTGTGACAAAATTAAATCTGGCGCTTAATTTTCGCACAGAGTTATCTTGAAGACGGCACATGTGGGAATGACCCGTGAATGAAAAAGAGTGAATAAATATGACAACGCTTTAGGAATGTCTATTACAAATTAATAATAAACCTACAATTGGTTGCACTATATCAGCATTACAAACCATAATTTAAACTAGAAGCAACTCCCAACATCGAAATGGTATAGCTCCGTCCCTATCGGCGGAATATAGAATAACTCGCCCGCCGTCGTATTTGATTCCAACTTCAGCTTGCGACGGAAATTAAGGTGCCACCACAGCAAAATCATATGCAGAAATACTTCCTGCACGTCGTCAACACGACGACAAAGTCACCTCGTGTGCAGGAGCTTCAGAACGACCGAGGAGTTGGCACAGGCCCATTAGTTAGCATCCGAAATCTTTATTCAAAACATCCTACGAGAAATTCTGCGATAAACTGTTTAATCCTTGGTAGCGTTTTGAGGGGAACAGACAGTCAGATAGGCAACGTCACCAGAAGTTCTGCTCAAGGCTCCTGGGTCTGGCAAATTATGACAAACTTATACACCATTCTATTCCAGTTATCAGCTCAATATAAAACTTCCTTTTCACAAAGTTCAAATATAAATGTCCCCCAACTTATTTAAAAATGGCTCATCACATATAGCATTCATAGACCAGTAAATAACAATAAAGTACAATATAAATTTTATTCTGAATTATAAATATAACTTGAAATTTTCTAAAGTAAAGCGTAAATTCCTAAGAATCCAAACGTACAGACCAATATTTTTATCGTAAAAGTTTTTAATTCGTAGTGAACGAAGACGTGTTTCCTGAGTGTTCTTTTTTTGTTTGTTTGTTTGTTTTAGTAGATCCGCGACGCTCGTTGAACTTTGCAGTGAGTTCGTGTGATTGGCCACATGGAGCTTATCACGTGACATGGGCTGTGGTTCCAGCGGTAGCAACACAAAGAACGTGAGTAAAATACATTTGTTTTAACGCCACCATACCAGTTTACAATTGTATGCGGTCGCCCTGATAATGGAGACAGCAAGGCTCTCTGAAACGTTGGTAAACGTCTACCTAAATTCACAAGTTTATTAACATTCGGGTCCACAAGAGCGGGAAATTTGTCTAGTTGAGAAGACTATTAGCTTCTGAAGAAATACTTCTCTATCTCGATAAATAGCAAGTCTAATTGGTCAAAATGCTCAAAAGGACTGTATCGAGTCATAATATATTCGTTTGACATGTATCACGAATGTGATCTGTATTCTCATATATTTCATTAGTTAGTAAATAAACTTCCCACTTTTTGTGCAACACAAACGCTTAATATCGCGTTCACACACGCCCGCCAAGCGTCCATACCCAGGATGAAGATAAATCCAGTCCACAAAATCCGAAACTGTTTCCTTAAATCCACTTTAATACCACTCTCCCATCTACTCCCGAGTCTTCCGTGTAGTCTGTTAGCTTTAGTCTATCCAATTAAAGTTGTATACGCATTTCTCTTCTCCCCATGCGTGCTATCTGCCTTGTCCATCTCACCTTCCTTGACATGATCATCTTAATATTATTTGGTACCGCGTACAATTTAATGAGCTTCCCTTCACGCAGTTTTCTCCAGTCTCTTCGCCTCACATAGTTTCAAATATTTTTCACAGAACCCTGTTCTCAAACGCCCTAAATAAAAGTACCGATCTCAAAATCTGAAATCGGGAAGTCCTATTGGTTATGTTCATAGTTCTCTTGGAAACATCGGGTGCTCACAAGAGTTCTTTGCGTTTTGAACTGCGTTTCGAAGGAACAAAGCAGTAAACTAGGGCAATCAGACTAAATGAAGGCCTTCATTCTTACAGAAGGGAGACGGTGGAAAGAGAAAATGTTCGCGGCGTACGGTGTTAAACACACAAAGTCTTGAACTCACTTCGAGTGCGACGCTATAAAGAAACGTCGCTAGATATTAACCCCAGGAGCGCAGTAACAGACAGCATCCCCAACTAAGAGAAGCCGTTAACATTTCACTAAATCAATAATCCCCAACACGCGCGTCTAATCCCCCGAGGCGATAAATTAATAAACCACAAATTGCGAATGTAATTAACATGAGAAAAAGCATTTTCCTCTTGAAGTTCAAAGTAATGAAACTTGTTACGACAACCGCTGAAATTTCCGCTGTGTGCATGGGCCACCCCGTGAAAGAGTACAGACGACATGGAAGTAGAGTTACACGTACAACTGCTTCAACTGGGTGGAACAATCCCGCGCATAGGACAGGCGCCCTTTCTGGTAATCGAAGCAGGTTCTTCCGCCCCAAAAGACACCAAAACAAACACGGAAAAATATTGACACGTTCTTTACACTAGGCACATAAACTCGCATGGCAGAGATCATATCCACTTGGTTGTATGTTTCGTTTCCCGATTTCTGTTGGGATTTCGATTGGGTCAGGGGACTACACCAGCAGTTGGGTGAATTCTGTTTCGGTCTGTATCGGCCCATTTATAAAAACTGATTTTCACGAACGCAGTACAGCAATACCGCTTTTAACGGTTCAAAACTCTTTGTTCTCGGGCCTACTTTTCTGCAACAAACGACAAGTAGGCGCTGCATGACGTAATGTGACGTCACTACATAAAGGCAACGTTTACACTCTCTGCCATCACCGCCAACCCAAGTTATTCTCTTAGAATAAAATAACAAGTTTCGCATCCATACAAACGACAGACAAATTAAAAGTTTTGTCTCTTTTATTCGTTAAGTTTTCAAATAGGGAAAGGAAAGATATAAAATTCTCAACTAAATTTAATCTTCATTTAACTTCGTAAATATAAATGTGATTTGTTCCTGTCTTCCTAAAACATTTTAAAGTTAACACACTTTCGAAGGACTTATTAGCTGCCTTTACATTTGATTTTGTTCCTATATTATAAGGACAAGACATGAACATTGGCCTTTTTGTATTTTATGCTGCGTGTATTTTTTCACCGACCTACTTATAGCGTCTAATAGAGTTTTATGTATTGTTTGTTTTCGACAAAAACTTGAATAGATTATTAAAACATTCAACAACATAAATAGCCTTATATAAAAATTATACAGCATGTTCAAAAACCCTCAATGCAGGAGATACCTAGTTCAAAGTCTATACAGTACGCGGTTATTTTGTGTCTAGGTTGGTGACACAGATTTATGATAGTTGTTTACTACACACACAATGTTAACGCGAAATGGTAATGTGCGTAAAAGGAAGAACATTTCAAATGGAACGTGTTTTTAGAAATGTTCTAGTGTACAGAACCGTTTTAAACACTGTGATCTGTATTTCCCTCATTTGCTGTTACAATAGTTGTCGCGCAGAAATGTGCAATTGTACTACAAGTTTTTCTCGAGTCTGAAAAGATAAATGAGGTGTTTCAGCATTGGCCTCGCTCCTCTCCAAAAATAAAATTACCCTATATCAGTCAATCGAAACCTGCGCTGTGGATAGCAAAAACTATCCCATCCATTTCGTACAAGACAATCCCATGATAATGCACGTTTCTATAAACCTTGTTGCTCAATTACTAAAAACCAAAGAAAATTGTTTTCTATTCTGTTCACAGGATCTCTCTGCGAGCCCCGAGGTGTTGGAAGAGTACATGGGATTAGAGAAGGCCATCTGGCGGGAGGAACAACAAGTTCTAGCGCCGGCTCCAGCCCTGAGTTTCGCAAACGCGAGGTTGGAGGCGCTGAACACGGAGTTACAGGCAGCAGAGCAAAGCATGGCCATGTGGAATAACTCTGGGGGTAGCGGAAGTGACGACAGCTTGAGGCAGGTGGTGCTAGAGCTCGGGATTCATAGGAACGAAGAGAGGGCTGCAGAACACGAGGAGTTCATAGCCACCATCAACAGACAGGTACAAACTAGCTAAATATCCAACCGACATAGCGTGTTGTGTGGACAGCAAAGCAGTACTATTATATAGGAAATGTCAATGATATTCAGAAATTCTGCCCAGTTTATAGCGGAAAATTACATGACTAAGTAAAGCTGTCCCACTATACGCCATGTAGGCGCTTGGGGGGAGTGGAGGTATAGCTCCTAGTCATTCTTGACCTCGGCACTAGATGGGGTGAGTGGTCAGCATCACACCCCGGCCGCGCTTTACCCCCGGGAAAGGACCCCGGTACCCACTGGTTAGGAGTCTGGGTGGGTCCCAGAGCCGGTCTGGACGCAGAGGCTAAAGGAAAAATCCTCTGCCCCCCGTCGGGGATTTAACCCCAGTCGTCCAGCCCGTAGCTAGTCACCGAAATTACAATGAAAATTATGCCGTCTGCTTAAGTGCTTCACTTGTCACAGGTGCTTGCTCGCAATGAGGTGGAACTGCTAGTGAGACGTCGCGAGGAGGCGGAAGAGGAGGTGAAACTGCTTAAATCAAAAGTAGCCTACCTTCAGGGGCTGTATCAGGAGGAGGACGCGCTGCTGAAACGTCTGTTTGAAGAGGCGTATGGCAGCGAGGAGGAGAAGAACGTCGAAATGGAGCTGGACAAAGTGCGCACCTACCGCGACACGATGGCAAGCGGCGTGCTGGAGTGGCGAGAGGCATCCGTTCTGGTGCAGACGGCCACGGAGCTGCTGGACAGGGCCGTCACATGCTGGAAGCAAATAAACGCCCAGTGAGTGCCCTCGCCCTGGTGGAGTTAAATATGTTTGAAGAAAACGCAAACACTTCAGTAACCGATCGACAAATACTTAAAGTTGCTGAAAATATGGTTAGAATAGTAGCAGCATTTATTACAAAAGTAAGAGGACAATTTCAACATATGTTACGAATGTTAATATTATTAACATTTTCAAGTTTGTTTGTTTTTGTTTTTTTCTTCAGACTGTTAACTTCTTTTATTTCATATTCCCTTTAGTATGGGTTATGTCTTGAAATAATCGCCCAATATAATAACAGTCTATTAACAGTGATTAGGCTCTTTACAGTCGATATGAGTAACAACTTAAACAGATCAGACACGGATGTTTGTCCGCGTCTTTCTGTGTTATGCTGTCCTGTGTACGGGTAGACGCCTTGCGACGGGCTGATCACTCGTCCAAGGAGTCTTACCAAATGTCTAATAGACTGAAAACCTCGACACCTGCGGGTAGAAGAGAATCGACTAAGAAAGAATTCCATCAATTACCGGCAATTCGCCTGGTTACATGCTTTGCGACAAAAGGCGAACACAATGTGTATGTTTCAGGACGCCGGAGACGCGGTTTCACCTGTCTACTGAAGCGAGGAACACGATTCAGGAGGGGGCACTGAACGTTCAGACTGCCCAGGCTATGCTTCCAGGCGTACAATTTCCCTACTGCACGCCTAGAGAAATGAACGCAGTGCTACAGGTAGGCACATGATACACCCTATTTCACAAACGGTGCCCTCACGACTGATCCATGGCGATGTAAACATTACTTAAAGTTTAAAGACGACTGTCTTCTGGGATATTGCGCCGTGCAGTATAGTAGAAATTATTCATCGTCTTGATGATGGATTCAGCGAGCACCTCTGAAACATCGGCCAATTTCTGCCACACTACAAGGCGCAATATCCCACAAACAGTCAATTCATATTTGCTGCCGTGAGAACGTAACATCTCACCATAAACATTAATCTGGCATTGAGTAACTGCCACTAAAAACGTGCAGCTTCAGTCAAAGCTCAATCCTCAATTCAATGTGTTGAAATCTCAAATAAAGACTTCCCAACGTGATGTTACAGGCTGTGGTATACATGTTCACGGACATACAGATCGCCGATCGCTACAACCATGCAGGACAGTGTTACAGAAATTTCCATGACAGAGCGAAGGCGCTTAGCAAATGGATGCAAGACGTGAGTACGCAAAATTGCTGTATCAACTGCAAAGGAACAATTACGTGCCTAAAACTGACTACACAGTGGATGAAGGAGGTCGCGGAGTATTGCGAAGTGCTGCCGCGGAGGGAATTTTTGCAGTAACGTAAACTTTAGGTTATCCATACCCTGGGCAAGAATCGATGTGGAATCGGCCGAATACAAAAGTTACCTCCGGACATTATCTGCTGACTTGTACATAGTCTAAAATGCAGGTCTGTTTGTTTTCCAGTTAACACAAAGGATGATTTATGTTTTAGACAATCCAGAACAGCCTGATGAAGGACCTGGCCGATGTGGACAGGAAGGTCAGTGAGACCACCGAGCGACTGCGCAGACTCCGTGTGTCGCTCATCAGGCACAAAGTATGTGAGTGCAACAGACACAGGCAGCTGAGCTAAACAACATGTAGTCAACCCAGTAGAACACAATCCGTATTTTCACCACCGTAAAAATATCACAGATCTTTATTCCTTCTTAAAGTACTTTTATTCCGAAACCAGCCAACTGCCGGGTCAGAGACAAAGCCCCTAACATAAGCTTTTCTGCTGCTTGGCCAAGGCTATCGCACACCTCGCGGGGCGGTGATGGAAGAGTATTTAGTTATGGTGAGATGGCAATTAGCCAAGAACTTGCAGATAAACCTGTGTCCCAGTTCCACTTCGTCCAACATGAATCTCACTTTACGCCGTCCGGCTGTGAACCCGGGTCTCCGCGGTGATAAACCAGCGTATAGGCACGTCAGCTTTATAACGGTCAGCTTGTTTCTTATTCAGCGTTCTTGTTATTTTTCTCGGTTGTAACCATAAACAGGGCGTTTAGCTTCTTACGCTGGACAATTAGCCCTCGTGCAAAAAGAAAGTCACCACTGACGTCATAATTTAACTTGCCAACACAGACTTCCTCTACTTATTAGAACATGGATAATAAGATAGCGGTTATTCCTCCAGTGTTTTCTACTTGTACTTGTGGGTAAAAGACACTGACAAATTCAGCTGATCGTTTTCATTACTCTGGATCATAAAACATTCTAAATTACTGTGTGTTTTGCAGATGGGTGATTACACAATGGACGGACTGAATGCGACACCGCCATATGGTAAGTCCTCATCAGAAAATCTCACAAATAATACAGTGCACTCTTATCATGTTTGGTAAATGAACGCTAATGCTGGCTGGATGACAATGGTTAGATTCCTTACGGAGCCAAAAAATCAAATTTTAAGCCTTGTTCAAAGTTTCTATATGGGAGGATGATACCCAAATCGACCTCGGAGAAATGGAAAGCTAAGATGTTGACACAATGCAGCTGATAGACAACAAAAAATTCAATGGTGAGCTTCTGTGAAGGAGGTGAAGAATGTTTCGCTTCAATAAATGTCAGCAAATTCTTGTAAAGTTGAGTATGAAGTTACCAAGGAAGACTATTCACCATCGGATCAGCAAAAATTCTTTGCCTCGGCAAACAGCTAAAGCTAGAGATCACACCGTTTAAACTTCTGTAGCAGGAATTTAGTTACCGCTGATTTAAAAGAGTTAAGGGCAGCATACAGAGTTCCTCTGACGTTAGAGCAGGTAGCACATTTAGTTATCACTGTACTTTACAGGTTTAAGGTGTGGACAAGCATAAAATCATACCGCAAGTTCATTTATCGTTTCTGGTTTGCGCACTGTTCTGTAGCAGAGTACTTGTGACAACTGGCCCTGTGTAAGGAGTCCTACCACGTGTTTAAAATATTCAGTATCGCAGATATGATTCTGATACGAAACAAACCCAAAAATCGTGTAAAAACAATGGCCGAGTTACTTATTTTTCAGGAGCTTCCAGCCTGAGACGCGTAGCCACGTCAGAGCGACGTCTCCGACCCGGGTTCGACCCCCGCCAGTACAAGATGGCTCCCCACCGGAATGAAATGTGGCAGGGCCGCGCACTAGATCACATGAATCTAAATGCCCCAGGCGAGTGGGAGCCAAACGACCAGTGGGGTGCCCCAACACAGATAATTCGACAGTGGACTTTGTGAAATTGGCAACAAAAAACTGGTTCCCGGTGTCACATCGGGTTGCCAAATGGAGACCCAATTTTCAAATGTCTCGTTAATTCCTGGTCAAATGAAGATGTGATATTAACAAATAACGACAAACATGAGGTCAGTCGTAGTAGCCAGACGACTTGAGGTGCGTATGGTCTTACACCGCGCAAACGAACACTGGTAAGGAGGGCTTTTGTCCCACTCGAAGCACAGATGTACAGAGTGTTCGATTTAAAACGCGACCCTAGCATGAACATTTTCACGCCGTCGAAACTAATGCCAGCATTATCCCGTTGGTGCAGCTTATGCATTACTTGAAATTAATACCGGCGTAACATCAGCTGTTTTGTCGCTCCATGAAAACGTTTCACAGAGAAACACTTCCTGTGTCCCGAAATGTTCCTACCAGGAAATATGTCTTATTTGGTACTTCTTCATTCAGATACACGTTGCTAAATGCTTTACAAATATCAAACAATTTCGATGCGAAGTAAATTTCGGGAATGAACACATCATGTTTGTGCCAGAACAACTGTTGCGCAACTGGCGTGAGGAACGGCCTAGCAAACAGGATGACCTTGAATCAAACGTCACGGAGTAGGACGGGAGAGTATGTTACACGGGGTGGACCTGCTTTTGATTTCATTTTTCTGCCGCGGTACGTGACTGTTGTTGGCTGCGTTTTAAATGGTACATTCTGCATATCTGTAATTGTCCTGCATTAGTCATGCGACAGGCCGGTACCCTTTCCAAGGAATCCTGTGAAGCGTGTGAAGATTCAGTTTCAGAGTTAATTCTTAATCGGAAGAAGCCACTGGAACTAATATGCGAAATAAAGAGAATAAATACAGAACTAAGTTAATTAGTAAATTTGAAACATCGGTATCATTACAGTAAAAATAAAAACTGATATATTAATGCAAAGCATGAAGCTATAATATTGAAGTGTGTTTGCATCATGAGTCACAGTATTTAGTGCGTGAAACTGTAAATTCAAAATGCCTGTTAAGTGCAAGTGGAAACTGGACTGACCAATAGTAAGAAAGGTGTGTTCTTGGACAGTCCTGACCAGCAATACTCACTGGCACATAATAACCAACATCATGAAAGAATGAACGTCTCGATCGAGTGCGCACTAGATGAATGCCCGACCCTGAAAGTTTTGAACTTCAAAATGCCAAACTGTTCAGTGTATATAACGATTTGTTAGAAATAAATATTCCTGTCTAAATGTGCTGAGCAGAGAATTGTGAACTGACACGGGTCTCAACCAGCTCCAAACACACGCCAGCAAACGTCACAACCTATTGCTCCAACACCCATTTAATGTCATCCTCCTACCTCTTATGTAAGGAATAGGACGTCGACTTGTATGTGAGGTCAGCATTTTGTTAGGAGAAACGATAAAAAACGCAACCAACCCTCGTATTCTACATTGGGCAAAATACTGAAATATAAAGCAGCTTTAGATAATAAATAAACAACTAAATTCAACATGTTGACAGAACGTAAACAGACAGGCTTACGTTTACAAATTACAAATACCGCGGATTAAAAATTCGAGGACGACCTTATAAAAGAGACATTTTGAAAGCTGAGGTCGGAATGTGCCAACAAGTGTCCAATTTCTTGACTACTAGATGATGATGTTACTCTTTGACCACCCTTCCCCCAACGAAGTCGGCATTCGAATCTGGGGACGGAAGGTCGTAAGCAGCTCGTCATCGGAGTTTCTTCCGAATCTTAAACACAACCACATCGGCCACATTTGTCAATTAATACGGAACCAACTTTTCAAAACAAATGAGGCTCGCTCTGCGAGAACGTGATACGTGTTGATAAAGTTTTCCACTATCTGCTTGGGATAATGAGGCCCGCCCCGCGGACTTATATTGAGGTTGATAAGGAAAGTAATTGTGCTTTCTCTTTGTTGTAAGAAGTGAGACTTCTGTTAATTGTCACACAGCGGCACCTCGTCTCTCCTTAGAACGGCATTAGTCGGTGTTCTTGCCGCAGGCCCAAAACTTCTAGTTAGATTTACATTATACATAGGCCTATATTTCTTACCACTACTTGGAAAATCACTGCTCTGTAGATAGCTGCTTTTTAAAAAGAAAAACTAAACACCTTAAGAACGTTGACCTTTACTACGGTGTCTGTTTCCTCTTAGCATTTTGCTGCGCTGAATGGTGAGCCCGCCTGAGTGGTATGGAAGACGACGAGATATTTCGAGTAGGTTGTCGATAGCCTCGAAACTGGGACGCTGAGCGGTGTTAAACTTGCAGACCTCCAAATCCATGTAAGACATGTAAATGACCACTTAAATTATTTTCGATACAGAGTTCTTCTTGGTGAAACTAAAAACTGCTTAGCTAATCACGGAATTTCCCTTCTTTTATGGGATCCAAAAGTTCACGAACATGTTCGTCCCTATTCTGAGCCTAATAAATCCAGTCCACACCTCTCCACCTTATTTATTTAAAATCTATCTTCATATTATCATCCAATCTAAGCCTCTCCGCACATAAATATTAACTACGAATGATGAGAATTGCATGTGTTTACGTTAAAGTCAGTGGAACTAAACCACAGAAAACATCATACTGCGTAAAACCCACAAGACCTGCCCTCTCGGCACTACAGCGAATTCCATCCATCGGTTTGCATGGACCAAGAATCGACGGCAGTTAGTTCTGATACGTTTTCCTCAATAAAAAGAAAGACAAATATTCGTTAAAAATTTGTCAACACTGACCTCAAAGTATCACATCGTCGCCATGTTTCTAAATGTTGATGCGTAAACAATATTTAATACAAAATTCTTAGGTACAATCCATCTTACACAAAATGCCAAATGCTTGCAACTGTTCGTTTATTATCGCGGAAAAACTGATAACAGACTACGGGTCTAGAGATGTCACGCGGATGCCATGGCGTCGTTTTACATTCTACATAAATTATCTTAACAAATGTTGCACCTGTTTGGAAGATCTATAATCACCATTCATTAAACGAAACTACTGTAGCTTCAGAAGGCTATCATGTTTTATTATTGACATTACGAAATTCACAACTGTAGAGGTGGAGTGTCTCTAGTGTCGTAAAATTTATATCCCAAGTTTAATAAAAATCCATCAATTTATTCAAATATTATTAAAGCGGATGTCAGAAGACAGACACATGAGAGATGAACGGCCATGATGCCACATATTGTGCTGTCTTTCCTAAACGACGAACAGGGCTAGGTTTGTCCTTCATGGAAAGACAATTTTCCTTGTCTGCCCATATTTCCACCGTCATAATGCAACCTTCAAAAAATGGCATCAACAGATAGGGCACGATGAACTTCATGGAGTCAATACAAAGACAGAAGGTGACCGCGCAAATGCTTTTCATTCCACTAACATTATTGCCAGACACGGGTTGCCGATGTGTTCCATTCATTTCCAGTCTATTCTAATGCTTTAACATTTTCCAAATAAAATATTCTATGATAATACTAGGAAAAAACAGTATCCACATTTCTCTAACTTGCCACTAAGAATTGTGAGCCGAATATACAAATGCTGGTTTGGTTTATATTCGACGTTCAGGAAAACACTGTAAGACGGAACGCCAAAATCATTACCAATTCATCTCACTGGTTGCATTCCACTATTCCGAGCCACTTGTGTCCCGCATTGTAATCAACCATCCACTGAATCACGTGTCGTGCCCTGGTCACTGCTTTCACGTTTTTGGATACAGTTCCAGTCATGTACAAATATTTGCTGTCAGTGGACTTGCACTTTTAGCGGAATGGTAGCATTGCCCGTTTTGTTCCTCGCCTTCATTCTGTCTTTCCTTTCTCTTCTCTTTATTTGCCTTTCTTCTAGACTTGTTTTCATCCTTCTCT